AATATGAAACCAAAATTAATTACTTTAAAAATCGACGCTTTCGGGCTTCGGCGGAATTCCTGATATTGTGTGTGGAATAAATCAGATATACGACTGAACTTAAGTCTGAAAATATTTATTATGAAAAAAAACCAAATGGATCGCTTATTCATGTTTCTTGTTCATGTCTGCAGCTTTGCTAACTGAAATTTTAAATCAATTGCGTCTTTGCAACTACTTCGGCAATCGCCACGGATTGCATTATAATTTATACTACATCAATTTGATAAAACCACAGATATAATATAGAACATTACAAATGTTTATATCAAGGAGGTCCGTGTTTGAGATTTGATCATTAAGATAATAAAATGACTAATGAGGTTAACAATAACCAAAATAGTTTATAATTTTAAAATTTAAATTACAACAATATACTCGAATAAAGTACCTACCTATTATTTTAATTTTTAATTTAATAATTAATAAAGGTGGTGTTTAAATATTCGAAGCACATCACGCATATTTTTTTATGAGTTATTAAATAAAAATCTTATTGTAAATAAATGTGATTACTACTTTTTAGATTTAACATAAAGGTATTCAGTGCCTAATGCATCACATGTACCGTATACCGACTATACCAACTATAGTTTGTAAAATTCCAAGTTAAATCTTTTTTCTGAATATACTGTCGAGCACGAAATTAATAATTAATAGGTATTTTATGTATTAATTTTGAGTGCATTATATATAGTGCATTGGTATATTCTAAACTATTAGAGAATATTTAAAATTTAAAATTTCCTCATTTCATTTCCGATAGATATTCAATAATCAGCAGAGCGACTTTCCCAGCTTTATAAAATAATTTGATGTTTGATGTACTACGGCGTCACTTAAATTCGCGGTTCGACCATAAGCAGACGGCATAGTAATATTCATATATTACTTAACATTTGTTTAAACTAAAAATAAAAATTGTTGAATTTTGGGGGACATAAGAACTCCCGTGTACTGTGCTACTGTAGTATGTACAACACTATTTATATCTGTTTAATTGTATAAATATGTTATTAATGTTATTATTCTGCGACCTGGATATGACGTCGTCGTTTGTGCTAGCGTATTTTTTCAACAATTTTTAAACAAAAAATATGCCCCTACTTCACCCGGGTAGCAAATTGTCTGTGGCAATAAATTTTAATTTTGAGACTTAAAAGTAAAATATGTAATCCACAAAAGAATAGGTAATCAAACTTACGTATACATCGACTCTTCGGGTAATTTATAGCTGCAAGGCCATATCTCGAGTTCAGACACCATATCGAGGAATTTCTTTCTTCATCTAAACCTGAACTGAAAAAATCGAGATTTTTATAAAAATTACTTGAGTAGAATGAAATATGTGAACAAAATATGTTTATTGTTGCCTTACACATTTCTCTTTTGTTCAATGAAATTATTAGAATTGTGAATCGTCTCCGACGAGGGACGACGATCGGCTTTTGCCATAGATGATAGATATTAATATATTATAATATAATATGTTGTTATCAGTTTTCGAGTTTTTGAATTCTTTGGATGACACGATACATTTTTTATTTCAGATTCCGAAACAGAATATTATTTGGAGTGTTTAAATCTAAACAATTCAGAACACGGAACTCTGCGTATAGGCCATTTAGATACACTATTGTCGCGAGTCCATTTTGTTTGGATTATATTTTGGAATATCTCACTTTATTGTTTTTATTCTTAACGGTTTAACCTTAACTTAATATAAAACTCTAGAAGTGTTGAGACATGAAAAAAATTCAAAATTAGGATTTGAAATGTACAGAAGTAATAAAAAAATGGATACTTTAATCGTGAATATAATATTCTCTCTGGGCTCGGCATTAATATGTTATTAAACAATATTATTCTATAATAGAGTGCAGTATTTACTAAAAAATTGTGTGATACTACTACACTATAGTGTAACAAATAATGTAATATATATACAACCGTGCAGGTACCTAACTAAGGCTCTCACATAGACATAAAGGTACCTAAGTTACGGGGGAACAAAACTTATGACCAAGGTTCGGGACTTACAGCATTTGCATACTTTTTTTATTTATTGTAAAATGTAGCAGAGTATACGAAATAAATTCATTTCTCAATGCTGTGAATTGTGATACCAAATCTAAAATTTGAATGTGCATATTTTGACATATTTCATAAATTTTGACGGAAACTGCTTATTTTTACGTTATTGTGCTTATAATAAATTTTCATATTTTCGAAATTTCAGCTTCACAAATTTCACCCGATCTAAAAAAGAAAATAGTAATGCAGCTTACTCGCAGTCTTATACTCTTATGTACCTATTTGCTATATACAACTCACAACTCCTTATAATTTTCGTGGTTCGAAAGTGTGCCATCTACCGTTGAAAAGGGACTGTGTTTTAACTGTGTTACGTCGAAAACTATACCAAGTCCAACAATAATTTTAAAATCATCATTCAGCAATCTTAATGATTTGTAGTTTATTTTGAAAGAATACAGTGAAGTAAAAAATCTAAATGCACAGAACTAAACTGTTTGGAATTTTTAAATGTAACGAGAGTTCTAGGAAATCATTTATTTATTGAAACAGATTTAATTACTGAATATCAAGAGTAGGTACTCATTGGCTGACTTGCAGTGTAGTCTGACAATTTACAATAACGGGTATTGTATATAATTATTTCAAAATAATATATTATTTAATTAATTGTTTTAAATAATTTTTAGATATATTATATTACCCGGAGCAGTTTCTTATGGATATGATCATTATGTAGAGTATGTACGCCGTGTAAATAGATGGGGAAGTGCACAATGATTTGACCAAAAAAAAATTAAGTACCATTAGTTCAACAAAAATAAAACGACATGTAATTTTATATGTGAAAGAGTAAAAAAAAGACATGTACATTGGTACAAAAGTCAACAATAGCAATAAGAGATGTCTTTTTTTTTAATTAAACAAAAAGACAAAAAGGTTATATTTTATTAATTTTAAATTTATATTAAGGGTTTATTACAAGATAAATAAAAGTAATAAGAAACAATAATTAATTAAATCAATTATATTTTTTTCAATTTTCCTTTTACTAATAATTCTATTATAGTGTCATAATTTCAGGATCCGGCACCAAAATGAGAAAAAGTCCGCAAAGAATTGAAACAGTCTGGTGGCGAAAAATGTTTTTGATGTATCGACCTGACGTTTTATAATAAATGACGAGAACCATGAACCACGATTTCTAACTTTAATAATTAAAAATTAATAAAGTAAATTTACAATGAATACAATTTGAAGACCTGAAAAACATATTCTATTTATTAGCAAAACAAAATAAAAATTGTTATTAATTAATGTGAGCTCTTATTTGATGGCCATGAGTTTATAATATTCAATAACCAATGTTAAATATTTAATATAGAGTAAAAAGAATAAATAAATTCAAAAAAATTAATTATTAATTGATGTTTATTGTAATATTACCACGTATTAAGACTATAAGGGTAAGAAACAATCATTTTATATTAAACTTACATTAAATAGTAGCCCGATATATTATGTAAGATAGGTATTGATAATCCTAAGATAGGATTATGTAACTCGAAATTATAAATAAGTTAGCGGCTATTTGCAAAATGTTAGCAGCATATTTCAATTCGTAGCTCAATGGGGGGTGTAGCGTGAAGTTGCTCCCCATCTTATATTTTTCATACCGTGTGGGTAATTTATTTGCAAGTTCTGAAAACCAATTTGCAAATGTTTGCAAATTATTGGTAGCAATTTAAAGTTCGTAGCTCAAGAGGGGAGGGGGCTGCGTGAAGTTGGCCCTAACCCATCTTATTTTTTTTATACCGTGTGGGGAATTTATTTGCAAATTCTGAAAACCAATTCGCAAATTATTGGTAGTATCTTGAAACCGCTAGCTACATCCCAGTAAACATTTTTACGTATTTTATACGTTTACGAAGTAAACAACGAGTTATACAAACTAACGTATAATACACGTAGATGTCTAGTTGATAAAAAGTACAACTATAGTATAATTCTGGGTCAAAAGATAACTATTTTATTTAACGAATATTCAACGTTTAGTATCCGTTAGTTGTGCATGTTTAATCAACGTATATTCTGCCTAAGTATTAGGTCGTTTTTTTGGATATTTTTTGTTTAAGTTGTATATAGATTTAGAATATACGATAGATATTTTTCGTATAAATGTAGTATATATTTAGAGTAAACAATAAATATTTTTCGAGTAAAGTTATTAATTTCTGATGGATATTATTTGTATACATAAGCGTTCCATATATTTAGAGCAGAATTGATTGATATTTTACATACTAAAATTACATGGTATAAAATTAATATTTAGTTCATCTAGAAACCTGTCAATAGAATATTTTTCAAACATATTTGGATTTTTTGTATAATTAATGAATTTATTAATGCAGTTGACAATAATCTACCTATAGATTTCCAACAATACTTTGTGTTGTATTTATTTCAAGAAACAATAAACATTTCATACTTTATATTTATTATCAGTGTTTTTCATATTTATGGTGAACTATCCACTAGCTAAAATTTAAATAAGATAGACATCCATACTGATATAATATTAAATAATATAATAAATTGTAAAATTAGATATAAATCTCATTTTCTTTTAGGGGCTTGTTTTAGCCAATCACTAATATAACTTTTGATTGCTAATATGGACTCGGCAAGAAACATATCTTTAACGGCTTCTGTAAAAACAAATTAAAATAAATTGTTAATTATATTGGTTTTAAAATACAATCACTGATAGGAGCATATTACTAGGTTAGGTTACTTATAGGACCTTAACATCAATAACTATGAAACTTTTATCGAGTTGTTGGCTACCTGTTACAACAATTTTAGTCACTATAGTATTTATAGGTACTATATTCACCTATTCACCGTAAGTTAACCCACTTATATTTTCTAACCTTTTTGTATATTTGACATATTTCTAGAAACTTAATTACAAACGGTGTCAGGCAAGTTTTAAATATTGTTATATTACATTTTTGTGGATATGAAAAATTGAATATAATGAAATGAATATCATTCATAAGAACATGGCCTAAATGCTGAATACTGTTCATTACATCTGATATAGTAATAATTTGTGAATTTTTCATACCACCATCTTTATTAGCACCACCATCTGTATTGCTTATAATTCAGTCATTTTAATTGAGTTGGGTGTTAGCTTTAAAAATAATATTACAAATTAAATCTTTAAAAACAGGATTTCAGTCATTTAACAGCTCAATAATTATTAATTCAACATGCATATCTCATCCATGTCAGAATCGATCAGAGTTAACTGTTTTTTTTTTATTTTCAAACATCATTCCAGTAGCAGTAATTAAGTGTTTTTCATTCACATTAAACATACCTAAATACAATATTATGTAATCATATTATTTATATACTATTAATTTGTTATAAGAAGCCATCTAGTAAAATTAGTCTCCACACACTGGAGTGGTGGCGTTAAATTCTATTGTCTTTGCTTTACCTGCGCGGTGAGCAGTGAAATGTGTTCTGCATTGATTTAACGCCACCGCTCCAGTGCAACATGTTTGGGGACCTTAATACTAATATATATTGTTTTTCTATTCCTACATCATAGAATGGGTGAATCCAATTTTCGTGTACATTTAATCAATCACCAATAAAAAATAAACAAGTCAGGTATGTAAAAATGTATAACATTTTTGTGGAAAAACATTGTGCAGACCATTAAGTTAAGAACCAAAAATGTTCAAGGATTTTTATGATAAATCAAAATAAACGGCAAGTTTATCAATAAATTAAGCAAGCTGTTACTCAGCAATATGTAATAGGCTTTAACTAATAATCACACACATAATTTCCATATAAAATATTCAATATATTATATGACAATTAAAAATTACTTTTAGGCTTTGGAGCATCATTTAATGCTAACATATTATTTGAAAACAAGGATTGACTTGTATTACTGTTTTCTGAGCTAGACCGGGTTTGCACTAAAATTTATCAGAAAAAAATTAATTAATACAAATAATAGTAAATTAAAATTAAAATGTAATGTCGATAATTAACCCACTCAAAATATGGCCTTTTTGTTTTTGTTTAAATTACTTTCATCTACAACAAACATAGAATCATCAAAGTGTTTTTTTTTTAAAACTTTTTCTTGGCTGTTGTGTAATATCTTCTAGTTCTGGTGTGCTGGTATCACAATATGTAGTTAATTTTTTCCCCTTCCGAATAAACATATTACACATTATAATAAAATATTTTGAATAATCTATATTTCTATAACATACGGACAAATTTTTTAGGAATACACAAATGTATTTTCCACAAACTGGAAGGTTATTTTTGTGATGCAGACCATTTTGATATATTACCATGCTTACTGCTTAGACCAATAACATTTAAATTGTTTATCAACTTGATCTGCATTGATCCAGCTGCAAGGTACTACTTCGACCGATTACTCATCAATAAACTCAACTACGGCAAAGTTCTTTTTTTTTAATTTTCTATTGTCGCCAAATTATTTCTTTCAATACAAGAATTTGAAAATTATACAAATATTTATAATTAAAACATAAGAATAGATTTATAACTATTTTACCAGCTATGACCAATAGTTTGCCACTTCTTTTTGTCCAATTTTTTTGTTTATAATAGCATAATTATTAGCTTCTTTCACTGCATTAATAAGTGGTCAGTAAAATTTATATTATTACCAATAAAGGGAGTGTTCTGACCATCACAATTTAACCATGTTATTGGAAAAAGAATGATGTTCTCTGAGACTAAAACAACAGCGTATGTTTGAGAATTCATTCTAAAACCAATAAAATAAATAACATAAATGTCTACATTTTAACAATTATATAAAAATAATATGTCAACCTTTTTAGTCAGCAATATGAAGAAATGAACACACATAGTAACTAGATGCAATATTTAAATCTTCTGATATGGGAAGATAACAAGCTCTAAATTGAATACTATTGATATCATACAATTCTAGTTCACATAAGAAATTACTGCACTCCATCATTCGAACAGCAATTAAAGGACAACGAATTTCATAAATAGGGATGACATATTCAAATCGTAAACAAACTAGAAATATTTGGCCATTTATAGACAATATGTTTTTTACAATACAAACTTTGCCATCACACATAACTACACAATCTTTTTTTTTTTTTACTTCAACTTTTTAAATTAGAAACTCTTAAGGTAAATTGTTTAGTCATTAAAATAGAATATTGAATCACTGCTTCACTAAGCAAATTATCTGGGAGTGGTTCAAAATAATGGTGAACGTCTAAAGCAGGATAATTAATTAAAGATGAATTAATGTCAGAGCTATTGCAATGCCATTCTTCACTGATACGATTATATAGCTGAACTAATGGAAATTGTCCAGGTTTCACTATCTTTTTCAAATGCTGAAGGTAATTTTCATAAGGAAATGATGAGAATTGATCAACAACTCCATATTTCTTAGCATCATTTGCTAAATGAATAACTGAATATACATTATACGATGCATTACTTTGTCCATAAATGTTTTTTAAAAATGTTTCAGTAAATCACTCACAAACTCATTTTGACTGTGAACTGTATTAGGACATGCTGAAATTCACATGGCTATGTTTAAAAACAAAAAATTGTTGTACACTGGTGTAAAAATAAAAGGTCCTGTATAAAATAGAATTTGTTCTACCATAATAACCAGAATGACCTTTAATTTGCTTTATAAAGGCTCGAGCCTGTGCATCAGCAATTATTCCTTTCAGAGTAATAGATATTGTTGTAAGTCCAACTGTAATACCATTCAGTAATAGATCATTAAGTTCATCAATGAAAAGATTAAGATACTCAAAAACATAACTTGGTTTTTTAGAACCAAAATAAGCTCCAATAATAAAAAGCTTGACACATTGTTGTATACAAACACCACACAATATTGGCTAGAATGATTGACCTCTTTTATCAATTGGTAAACCATCTATGTTAAACCATAATTCAAGTACTGATTGTTGGCGCATATAATAATTAACATTATACAAATAATTTAATCCTTTACAAATTCCAAAATGAATGTACTCTCCTCCTGCTATTTGATCAATTTTCACTTTACCAGATAAAGGAGTATAAAGAAGTGTTCTACTATAATCTGAAGGAAGATCTTGTAAGGATGCAACATCTTTAACACATTTAAGCAATTTTAATAAATCAGAAGTTTTACTTCTTGAAAGTCTTGATGAAATAATAAAAGATGCCAGTTTTGATTGAAATGTAGAATTATTGGGTGTATGAGCAAAAATGTTTAATTCAGTCAAAGATTGATTTTCAAAATGGTTGTTACCTTCAGGCTTCAGTAGAGATCAAACTACTCAGAAACACAGTAATAGGTGAATATTGAATATCTGGAGTTCTCGATAACTCAGTATGAATTACATTTTCAACAATAGGAACATTTTGAACCACTAAAGAATCAACACTAGAAAGAGAGACAGAAACATTTATACTTTGTTTTTCTCGCCGCCTTTTAGAATTCTTGGTCAAACTCTAACTTGGTTTATACGCATATCTTGGCATGATTTTAGCATTTACCGAAAGTTAAAATCTAAAATTGACAAACAAATCAATTTGATATTATTGAATGCAGAGATAGTGGTTTTATATGGTTTCATATTATGGTGTTTTAAAATATTCTCTCATCCTTGATATGTATGTAAAAAATTTGAAAAAGATAGGTATTGGCAAAGCTGGGCAAGTTAGACACTTTTTTCAACTAGTTCAAGTTAAGTTACTTTAATATAAGAAAAAAATAAGTTAGAATACAAGTTAGTTTCAAAAATTTACGAAATGTATAAGTTAGTTAGATAGAAATTAGTTTAAGGAAAATAGTAGGTAACTTAAGTTAGAGTAGAAGTTAGTTTTTTTTTTTTGTTCAAAATATAAATTTAATAAACCATTTTGTCAAATGTAATGTATTACATAGACAAATTTTTAAGTAGGTAGGTAGAATAGGTAACCAACTTGAACTATTGGTGATGAATGAAAAATTAAATTGAACAACTATCAACTGATAATTTGATCGAATCTATCAAATAAGTAGGTAATAATCTTAATTTCTTGGAGTATCAGACATTCCAATATAGATTATTTTACACATTAAATTCAACTAGTTAAGTTACAAAGTTAATATGAATTAAAACTAGCTTAACTCCAACTTTTTAACTAGTTAATGCCCAGATTTGGGTGTTGGCAATGAATTTTTTTCTGTTTATACAAATAGCTTAAATATTTTTATAATCCTAAAACATATATGAATAATTTGCTTTAATTTCTTTATACAAGGTGATTAATTATTATAATAATTGTATTATTAAAAATTTAAGTATACAGCATCATTATTAAATAAACAAATACTATGTAAATAAGTTTTAATTTAAACAACACTTATGTATAAACAATTTATTCATATCAATTACTACATTTATGAATTGTAAATAATCAAATTACATTAATTTAATTTAATTTAAATTAAAATATTGTTAAGATTCTTAGCTGTTTTTTACTTTTTAACCATAATTCCCTAACAATTTAATTGCAATACCGAAGCCTAAGTGCTAAAAATTGTATAATATACCTTATTTTTAATATAGGTACATACATCAAATATTATACCTATAACATCATGAAATATTTTAACCATTTATATTTACTTAAACAAAGACCTAACACAACCATAAGCAGTATAACAACTGTGGACTTAAACTAATCATTGAATAATAAACATTTGAACAATATTAATTAAAAGCAGTGAAATAATTTGAGATAATAATGTTGGGTGAGCGACTTCGCAATTCGCATGCATTATAGGTACGCAATACTATGTGAAACTACAAAGCACAATAAGACTAAAGTTATAACAGGATATAATATTATTATAGATGATAAAAGTTTTTACCTTATATTTAAGTTGGAATTTTCGTTGACTAGGTACAAGGTACATTACATTACTATAGTCACTAGAGGTAACTGTAGACGTAAGACCGTGAATGGTGGATGCATAGAATATGGAAGTGCACAAGTTGCAATGGAAAATTCCGAAAATGGAAATGTCGGACGTTATATTATTATGTACTTGGCTGTGACGGGCGCTTGTGCTTGCAAGATTGCAAGGGCCAACAGCAATCATAGACATTGCTGTCGTCGGTCTGATCGGCGGGGGTGAGGTAATGCCGACTCACAGATAAGAAGGCTGCTTCAAGATATTAACGGAATTACCCAGTCGTAACCGTGTTTTGGCTAAATCGGTCGGTTCTATGGTTGTGGCTTGAACACCGCGGCAACTGATAACATTTCCGTTACTCGGTTAAACAAATTTGTTAGTTCACATTTAATTTATTTTAAACTTCCAAAATACAAATCTATACTCTGTTTCAATTTTCACGATACGATAAAATATACGTGCAATGCGTGGTGATGTATAATAAATGTATAAGTAAACTTTACGCAGGGCCGGATTATGGTCATAATATTAAATAAGGGGGCTAAACATTTTGGTAAGGCCCTCTGTTGAAGATTAGATTAAGGTTAGGTTAAGGGAATTGCCATCACACAACAATATTTATTTTTAATTATTGATGGTGCAGAAAAAAATCGTTCACTTTCACAGATGGACGATGGTAGCTTAAATTCAGAACGCTACATAAATCCAGCGGTAGTGGGCTAAGTAAAAAAATAAAAGCGGAGCGGTCACGACCGTAGTACATTACACGAGCCAGAGTTAGTCCATTGAATGTGTGTAAATTTGCCTATTTTCTTTAGCCAGGCCTACAGACTTAATGAATGGGCAGAATGGTTCGTTTGTGGTAATGTACTAAATAGTAAATACTAAATACTAAATATCGCATTCGTTCTGCTGACATTCAGACATTCATGGTTGACGTATATTTTCGCTGTCCAGCCGTGATATTTAATAACCACGTGTTATTCGTTGTAATTATAACTACAAATATTAAATAGATATTTTACAATTTATTTACATTTTTTAAAATGGATTTTAAAGTGTATCAAGTTCTATCAACAGAAATTAACATGGTTAGTCTATGAATGAAGCCCATTAAATTTGTATAATTTTACCTTAACTGGCCTCAAAAACTCTCCCAGACAACCCCACAAGACGTCTCAAACGCAACTGGTGCAGAGATCTGCTTAACCATTAAAATACATTTATATAAGTCATAATAATTTTTTTTTTAAATTCTTTGTAAAAGGTGATTCGACTGCGAGTCTTCCTTCATGTTACTCAAAGTCATTTTATATTATTCTTATATCACATTTACTTATTGTATATAATGTACAGATTGTAAATTTTCAATAAATGCCATAATTTATAAGAAAAAAAAAATTTTACCTTAAAAATGAATGGGCAATGGCTACGATTTAATGACACTTCAATACATTTTGAACGATGACTTCGAGGAGGTAAAGATGTGTGTGTTATAATAATACAAAAAAATCGAATATATTGAATGCACAAACATAATAATATAATTAATAAATAAAAACATGAAAAACATGAAAAACCTGTAAATCATATTACATGCTGGTACATAAAAATATGTTATAAAAAAACTATTGATATCCCATCAAAAACACTTAGTCCAACTCAAAATAAATAAAACATTATTTAATATATAAATTTCAAATTTAAATCATATGAAAATACTCAATAGAAATAAATTATTTATTACCAAAACATGGTTATGGTTTTTCTATATTATACCCAATAAAAATACTTCGTCCAACTCCGTGTAAAAAAGTAAAAATAAACATGTCCGTTCATAACTGGACTATTTAACAAATTTCCATTACCAATGTTACTAAATGTATTTTGTAAAAGGTCTTAATTATTAATTTATAAATAAAATAAATTCTCACAAAAGAGGTAAATAAATTATTGAGATCGAATAAATTTATTTTAAATTAAATTTATTTAGCATTTATTAATATGACGTCTTTATAATGCTGAAGTTTTATGAATGACAACTTTTCTTGTCTTCGCAATTTTTTACACGGAGTTTGACGGTGTTTTCATTGAGTATAATATAGAAAAACCATAATCGACAATCGTGTTTCCGTAATAAATTGTTTATTTCTATTTAGTGTTTTCATATGATTTAAATTTGAAATTTATATATTAAATAATGTTTTATTTATTTGATGATGCCATTTTTATAAATAAAAAAAAGAGTCGACACATTATGGCCCCTTTCAACTTACAGTCCGGGCCCCGGGGCTATAGCCTCCCTAGTCCCCTCTTTGTCCAGCTCTGACTTAACGCACTACGCATTACATTGATAAATGGTCACCCAAACATCATCAAAAGTTTGACACTTAAACCCAGTGGGCAAACATATTTTAAATTTTAATACAATTAGAGCGAAGATTTAAGTTAACCTACCACCCAATATCTTACCAAAAAAAATTTTTTTTAAATGTACCTGTATCAGAGGTAAACTAAGGGGGGGACAACTAGCCCCCTCCTAAATATCAGGAACAAAAACAAATTATCTGACCTACAAAATATGTAATACAAACAAATAACAAAAAAAAAAATGTTTTAAGTTATATAAAAGTTCCCCGTGGTTACTGGTTTGTAAATTGTCATTAATTGTAATGATTAATTAATAGGTATATAATATGTGTATATAACTACTATAAAAAAGAGAAATAGTATAATACGGTGTGAACAGTATGACATTTATGAATATTTTAAATTTTTTCAAAAACCTCCCCCGTATTTTTTCCAGCGTTCACCACTGAACTGTATTGTATATGGATATACATATCATCAACGTAAAATATACGTTAATACTTAACTACATTTCGACGTAAGTTCAACCAACCAATAATCACCGTGCGATTAACGTAAAATCAATCTATTTCAACGTATAGTATACCATTATTAAACGTATAATTTCTACGTATATGCATACACCAAGATTATACTTATTATACACGTAGATTATACGTGCTATGTTTACTGGGAGGCTGCTTGAAGGTGGCCCCCCTTGTCTTATTTTTTTTTATTTCTAGCAGGGAATTTATTTGCAAATTCTGAAAACCAATTTGCAAAATGATAACATAACTTTCAAAAACATTGGTCATGGTGTTGGGGCTAACTTCACGCACATCATGAGCTAGTCTAATATTATTATACTACTTCGTAAACATTACTTCATGACTCAAAGCACATTTTATATACATAATATATGATAAAATTTGTATATAAATATATGTATCGTTAATATATTTATATGTATTATGTATATTATGTATCTACATAATAAAAAGTATAGAATTCTTGCAGGTGATTTCAGCGTAAATTGGATCCTCAATTTTCAATTTTCCACCTGATTCAAGCTGTGAACATTTCGTGGAAAGCTAAAAGCATCCGGGAAATGATAAGAAATCTTATACATTATTATTATTATTATTATTATTATATGACGCATATACGGTTCCCTAGGGTACTACCTCGCTCTCTCGTCGGCCAAGTAACATTACAGTGCACTGAATCAGATTTCCGTGTATGCGCGTCTAACTTCATTGCCGATGATAACACGACTGTTTCTCGATTACGAATCGATCCCCGGCCAATTAACCTTACACCGACTCCAGTCTCGAGTGTTTTAGGTCCAATAAAATAGCGTAGGTATATTCTGTATGTGCACTGTGCAGTGTACCTACACGAAATCTAAGTTAATCTCATCTCTCTCTCTCATCGCACGCGCTTGATCGGAATGTCCGGGGGAATGCGTCCATCGACCGATCACATCAACATATTTTCTATAATCACGCGCGATTCCGGCTTATACCATGGTTGTGTGTCTGAGTCTTCCGTTTTTCAACCAAACGACATGAACGATCGAAGTGCGTAGAATGTGGTTCCAAAGTCCCTACATATATTTATAGTAATTTTTCGTTAGTCCTCACCTGAAGCTCCTTGTCGTTCAATCCATCGAGAACTCGGTCCGTCCGTTTATCCGTGATGCCTGCAGCAGCTATAGTGTTACGTATTTATTTCTTTTGTCTGGACTCTAACTAAAAAACCTATAGCTACGTAGTAAAGGAAGTTTCCAAATAAGTAATTTTATATTGCAAGTAGTTTGCTGAGTATTTGTTGTTTAGCGTTAATCATATAGTGTTATTCTTTAGCCAATTTATGGTTTTATTTTTCGAAAACTTAGCATTATTTACTCTACCTACATAATGGTTTCGATACGATTGACTAATAATTGATAACTATTTACTATACATCTATATTTGATAATATTATACATTGTAGACTTAATATGTATACGATATAAATATAAAATATGTAGGTACTTGAAGCTACAGTTTTTTTTAAACAAAAATCAATAATTCTGTCTTTGATGGAGACACAGTTATTTTTCCAATGTATTACTATAATATGTTAGTATACGTCCTCTCTGTATCAATTAATTGTGATCACGGCAAACTCTACTATACGTTACATAGCAAAATCATATAATTTTTTTATGACATTCGACTACGTTCATTTATTTTCTTTTAGAGGAGGCACGCAGATTGCATCCCGAGAATACTGCAGCTCATACGAATTCGTCGTAGTTTGCGAGATTTGCACGCTGCGTACAATAATATCGATAGAAAAAACTATTCACACGGAGAAATCCCTCGAAGTCTATTATCCGGTCAATATTGGAACACGTAACAGCTGGCTGCTCATGCACCGTTGTTTTATTATTATATTATTATACAGAGTGGTCCACCCGGTCTTCCCGGTATCCTGTGTTGATTTTAGGGGAAAACGCTTCGTACCTCTCTGTACACACACATAATATATTAATACGGACGTAGCGTTTCGGTCCATTTAATATAATATTGTGTATTATATTATCATATTATATCGTTCGATTGGTTTCCACGAGGGTTAGCCCAACTCAGCCTACACTATATAGTATAATAGTGTATATGAATACATTTTATGTACATAATATTTTTTATTATTATTATTATTGAAAAATAAGCTCCGGCGGCTTTGGCCATTAGCTTTTAATAAAAAAAACAATCGTGAGTGTGTATGTTTGCTTGTGCGTTG